TGCCTAGTCAACCTCATTCTGAAAATCTTAAAAAATAGAGGAAGAGGAAAGGGAAAGCTCCTGTCATCGAGGTATCAAATGAGAGTGATAATTTTGCTGGTTTCTACTTTGACTCTTTTCACACTAGGCAAATTTCAAGTCTAGCCTTAAAAATGGCCAGAAAAGAAGTTAGTAAGTCTTGGATTGTAAACTTAAACAGAGCTCAAAGATAAAGGGTATGATGCTATTGAAATAATAAAGCCCTACAAGACTCTGTTGGAGCTTAATATGGCTGTACGTTTAGAAGTTGGAAGAGCATTTTACAGTTCTCTACAAGTTCTGCATAATGGTGAAGTACTGAGATCAACAGTGTGAGGAAAGTCTTTTGATGTTGCAAAAGACTATCTAAACACTCTTTTGAATTTTCCAACCAATAAAAGGTTGATGAAATTATTAGACTTATCTTATGAAAAGCCAGTCATGTTCACAATACTGGTGCCAACCTGGGACGAAAGTTCTGGTCTAGTGGAGAAGCCAAAGTCCATGCCAATATTTCATAGAGTAATCTACTACATTTGTCAAGGTCGATTACTTACAAAAGATATAGGGTAAACAAGTTCATCTTTGAAGACTTGAGGCTTCTGATTGCCTTAATTAAGGGATTCAAATTGGATGTTGCCTTTATCATCTTTGAGAAGATCAAGAACTTAATCTAGTTGACCAGAAAGAGAGATGGGAAGTATCTCATCTATGAAAATGTGATTTCCAAAATGTTAGAAAATCAGAAGATCATATATCTGGAAGGAAATGAGATTTTGGCACATAAGGAGATCAACTTTGTGACTCTAAAGAAAATGGAGATTATTAAAGAGAAAAAGGGAGGAGGAGGTGGTGCTCAAACTAAAGCTCGCTTAGTTGTAACTTCAAGTGCTCAAGAAGACGAGAGTCTCAACCTACTTGAAATAACTCATCTATCCCACCACCATTAAGAGCAGTATATCTTGATTCAGATGCTATCAAATGCTTGGATAGAAGGTTCAAGATTCAAGTTGAGCTTTTCACTTTGTGTCTTGAGAGACAAGTTGAGGACTTCAATTAGAGACTAAAGAAAGCCTCTGAAGAGATTAGAGAAGAATTTAAAGAAGAAATTGGCTTGCTGAGAGCTCAAGTATTGAGTTTGGGAGGTATACTAGCTGAACTAAGTGACTCATTTGAGCATTATTCTCCTTTTAGGATGGGTACCCCTACTGGTGTTTCTCTATATGAGAACGTTGGGGCAAAATTTATTGAAGATTTTATGTCAGTACACATATCCAGCACCTTTACTTCAAAGAAGGGGACTGAGGAGGACATTGACAGTGACCTACAAATACCTTCTAAGATTGGAAATTTGAAGATTGGACTAGCTTCTTTTATAGATTTTGAACTAAGAGCTATGTCTGAAGATAGTTCAGAAGGAGCTGAGTCACATGCATCAGAAAGCAACAAGCTTGCACTAGTTGTGGCTAAGATTGCCAGAGAATATATTGAGATCTCTAATGATGAGGAAGAATTAGAGTCTACACAGTCACCTCTATCGTCTACTCCCTTCTTCTCTGGGATCAACTACACAGAGGCCTTTCAAGATTAATTAGGAGAAATCCTGATTTTGTATTTTCTCCTATGCTACTTACTACCATTTTAGAATTTGATGCAATTTTTAAGCCTCCACCAAGGTTCAAGAACAAACCAATTTAGACTAAAAGTAGTACCTCTTCTTTCGATGTACCTTCCTCTAATCTTTTTATCCCTATTGATCTATCCAAGCCTTCTACTGATGATAAAAAGGGGAGAAGAGTAAGGATGCAAAGTTTGAAAATAAGGCAGACAATAAGGTTCAAGATAGTGGGTCAGATAAGTATGTGGTTGAAGATTCGAGAAGTGGCAAGCATAAGGGTCAACTTATTGTAAGAAGACCAAGAAATGCCTTGCTTAGACTCAGTAGATTTAAAGCAAAGGTTTTAGAGACTTTTAAGCCTCAATCTTTATCTAAAACCTCTGAAACTCAATCCTCTCAACCCTCTGAAACACCTAAACCTTCATCTCTTATTATTAAAAAATTTCATAAGTTAATGGATTTCTTTGGTACTATCTTTAAGAAGTGAACTAAGTGTTTATGTTTGCTTGTTTGTTAGATAGTTTATCTGTTGAAACTCTCTGTTATTTGGAACATCTTTTAAATATATATATATATATATAATGTGCATTTCTTCTATTTTAATATGTGTTTATTTCTTTTAAGAAGTAGAGACTAAAGTCTCTTCAAGAACTAAGACTTTGCATATGAGTTTTGTCATCATAAAAAACGTGGAGAAATGTTGAACCTTGGTTTTGATGATCACAAAATGAAAAAAATTTTTATGCGTTTCAGGCTTTCTTAACTAAAATCAAGTTAATTGGCTTAACGTTAATTAAATCTGACTAAGTGAGAGTTTATATGTAACAAACAGTATGCTATTTTATCAGTTAAGTATTTCACTTAACTATAATCTTTGTGTTAGAAGTTATCTTATTCTAAAATGTTTCTAAGTATTGTTAGTACCAGTACTAAAAGCCTTAACACAAGTGTTATCTCAGTTATCTTCACTGTTCTATTAATATGTGTTTCATATAACACCGGTCCTACTCATTCAAACACTGGTGTTATTCCTTTAAACTTGTGCACTTGATTCTCTCTAATTCGGATCTTTTTCCTTGCACTGGTACTATTTATTCAACATCTTATTCTTTACGTATCTTTAGTTGAATTAAGACAACATCTATATTATTTGGTTAGCACCTGTACTAAGTTTTGTTCAAGTTTGTACAACACCTGTGCTAACACTTCAACACTGGTACTATCCTTTCTTCTATCCTATGAAGAGATTTGATTGATTATATTACTTTAATGTTATTTCCTTTTAACACTGGTGTTGAGTAATCTTTTTAGGTATATTTGTATTCACTTAAAATTATAAAAAATCTTTGTCTTTTACGTATTGGATTACATAGGTACTATCAAAACAACACATATGCTATGACCTTCTTTTAGAGTCTACTCATCACTATAACACCAGTGCTAGGACATAATAACACCAGTACTACTATGAATCTTTATGCTCTATTTTTCGCATCTCTTTTAAAGGTCATATGAACTCATCTTTTAATCCTTCTTTTCATTTAAAATCAATTGTGTTCACTCTATGTCTTTATCAGATGATATTTAAACGCAATTATTTCCTTGAAGATATTCAGTTTTCCTATCTTTGATTATGCCACCAAGCTTGCTTTCTATTTTACCAAAAGGTATAAGCTTCAATCACTTTTGTTAGAAGCATTTAATGTCTTTAGTCGTTACTATACAAAAAAAGAAGTCTCTATTGTAAAGCACCGTTCCATTACTTAATCCACCAAAAAACCTCAAAGAAGCTAGGATATCTAAGAAAACACGAAGCAAGAAGGAAAAAGATCACAAGCAACCTTTAATGGAAAAATTTATGTGTCTAACGGATCATTTATGATCCTTCACTATAAATAGACTCATTTATGAAACCTGAAAAAAAAGAGGAATAATGTGAAACAACAAGAACATTTTGCATGTATTTGAGTATTAAAGTTTACCTACCTTCTGTGCATCATTTATTGATAGAGAGCTTTATTGATTATATATCTACTCTAAAAGGGAGTTTAAAAGCAGTAGTAATTCATTCTTAAACTTATTCTGTTTATCCCTATTTTACATCTTCAAAACATAGAAACTTAAGTTCGAGAAGTTTAAGGTGATTTACTATTACCTTTGTAAAAGGAAGAGTTTTAGACTTATTGAGAAGTCTATTGATGTACTGAGACAATCAAGAGCCTGGATTAATCTTGTTATTATAGCTGAAAATCTTAAGAGGTTCCTGGAGATTGGACGTAGACACAAGTGATAGGAGTCGAACTAAGATAAATCACTTATGTCAAGCTCTATTCATCTAACTCTCGTGATTGGTGATTTTGTTCCATCATCTCATTTATTATTACTATAATTCATTTAAATTTTCAATTAACCCAATTCACCTCCTTCTTAGGGCATTTACATGTAGCCCAACTTGAGAGAGTCAAGAGGCACTTTTCAGCACCTTACGTCCTGAAGAACAAAGTTACACAGAGTCGCAAGCTTCTCAAGATGAAGTCGCATGAGTAATAGATTTAGGCCCTGTCTATTTAGAAGCATTTATAGAGTATAAGAGATATGATAATAATATCTATTAGAAAAATAAAATCTAATCCCTAATATCATACTGAAAAGATAATAACAAATAATAATAAATCTAGGGTTAAGATAATTAATGGGCCTATGACCCATCAGCCTACTTTCAACATAAGTCTCCTTCTAGAGGATAATTATAGAATTTTTATTTTTAGTTTTTGTTGTATTATGGCGCATTTAATGGTAGAGGTACAGTCACTTGATTTAGGCCCTATTTGTTTAGAAGCTTTAGGATGTGATGGTTTTTTTTTTTTTTAAATTTGCTTTAGACTTTAGTAATTCTACTCATGATTTCTCCTTGTACCTGTCTTGTTTCTGTAATGATGTGGTATATGACTGCATTCCAAGATGTTTTGATTTGTATATTTCAACAATCCTTTTCCCTTATATTTCTATTGTTTTAATAGGAGACTAAAGATGTTGTTGTAATAACTCTTATGATGACCCTAATTTTTTTTAATGAAATAATTTATTTTATAATTGATATTTTAATTATTTAATTTAGTTCTATAGGAAATGAAGAAGGGTGGCTTAGTGAAACTTGTGTTAGTTATTTGCTTGACTCCAGAGTAAAAATATATATATATATATATATGTGTGTGTGTGTATATTTTGTTTTAATTATGGAAAAATTACCAAAATGACCTTTTCTTTTATATTATTACAGAAAAATTTTGGGCACTTTCTTGTAGTTTTTCCAATTATTTATTAGGAATAGATTTATTTATTTATTTTTCCTCCTCCTCTGCCATTGGAACGGGAGGGGCATCAGATGAGAGTGAGAGGGCATCGACAAAGAACCCTGTGCCAAAACCTTCGACTCGATCCTCCTTCCTTCACTGTTTCGACGGCCGCCGGTGAGAGTTGGCCGAGTTCCGGTGCTGCTATGGTGTCTTCTTCTTGGCTGTGATTTTTCGTTCTTCCCCCATTCTGTGATCGTGTGAATCTGCTGTTGCAGAGGTTTGGGTTGCGAGTTAGTGGTTTCTTGCGTTGCCATCGGACTTTCACTGACTCCTCTTCGCGTCGTCGGAGCTCCTTCCTTCTTCACGTCCGATCTGCAACTTCTCCTTCTTCATGCTTCTGGGTTCATGATCTGAGGTGAGGGTTCTCCATTCGCTCCTCCTTGTCGGTTCTGTTCGTTGGTGGGTGTGGGTCTTAGATGTTGATGTTATAATTCGTCTTCTTGTGTCACGGCTGTCCGTGTTTGTGTAGGGAGTAGGAGTTGAGTCAAGTTGGAAATTCTGTATTAAAAGCTTAGGGATGATAATATGGTTTTGAAATTTTTCCTTGGGTTGAAATTAATTCTTGATGAGCAATTTGATTGAGTTCAGTTATGGATATTTGAGAATCTATTGGGCAAGAGATTATAAGCTACGAAGCCTTATTGAGTAGGTTAGGAAATTATGCACACTAGGTGTTTGATATAATGTCTAAGAGGAAGTTATATCCTTATGGAATAGTTAATTATGGTTAAAGCATTTTGGAGAAACTTTGTGACATAGTTGTTCTTCCATAAGTTTGTATCCCATTTTTTTAAATGGAAGTCGCAACATTTACAAGTCAAATGCTGAAAAAAAATGAAATAAACAATACCTTATTTATTTTGGCATCTATGTTTGAAATCCAACTTTCTCCATTAATAATGGTGGTTTTCAAATTGTTCTTGTTGCTTTCGTGATAATATGGTTTCTGATTTGTTATTTTACTATCTTGTTTGGTTCATATTGAGGAGTATTTAGTTAGTAATTTCTGAATCAAATTGTTTGTTTTTATGACAACTTTTGGGACACGTATATAATGACTGATGAAACATTTGAGAATCTTGTCTTGTTTTCTTTAACGAACTAAATTGTAAGACTTTGAGTATTTTGCCTCTTTGAACTTTTGTGTGAAGTACCTAGGAGTCGTGATCATCATCATCATCTTCATCTTAATCATTTGCTAGTAAGTTTTAAAGTAAGAGCTTATACTGCATTAGACGTGTCTGTTGATGATGTGATTGATGAATGATTAAGTAATTAAACATGCATTATTAAATTATTAGAGTAGAACAGCAGAAACGTGGAGGGACGCCTTGAACTCTATGGGTTCCAAAAATAATGAAATGTTGTGCTGTTTTTTTTTTTTTTTTGAGTTTCCAGGCATTCACTCTTTTGAATTTCTTTGATTCAATTATGTGCTAAATAAATAGACTTTGAGAATATCAAAAAGTTGTTGTAACATACTTATGTTGTTTCCAAGTTGTTGATTTGCTCTTTAGCAAAAAGATAGTCATCTCTTGGCTCCTAGCATATCTAAATATTGTGGTATTGTGAGAAATATCAGTCTATTGGGAAGTTTATGATGCAGTTATTATTAATTTTTTACTTAATGCAATGCTTGTTGTGACGTTTATCTTGGGTTAAGCATGACAAATTGAGTTTTGAATTTGAGACTTTTGAAAGTATTTTTATAATGATGAGAATATTTTTATTTTTGAAAGAAATTTTCTACTAGCATATAAAAGTCTACAGAAGAAAGTTTGGAAAAATGGCTTGTGGACATTCTTTGGATTTTTTTATAGTAACAACTTTCATATATTGAAAAAAATTGATTTTTGACATGCCCAGAAGAGGAACCAAACATAGCACACCTGATATTCGATATTTGCGGCCTTCGAGCTGTGCCTAATACTCTTGGCCTTCATGCTACGCTTGTTATTCATGGCTTTAAGCTGCACTAAATTTGTTACTTAACCTTGGGGATTGTGTGTCTACACTTGCTTCTCGTGGCCTATGAGCCATTTCGGATTGGTGATTTACCTATATGGGTTGTGCGCTCGTGACAGAAATCTCGTGCTGGTGAATTCCTCTAAGGAACTTGTTTTAAAAGAAGAATAAAAATATGTTTTTTTTTTCTAAATTTTTGTTTTTGGAAAGGAATTCTTATTATGAATTTTTGGATAAGTTGATCCCATGATTACTAGTACAAAATTTATCTTGTTACTGTAATGAGTTTGGAAAAGTGAGGGTAGCACCTATTGAGGAAAAAATGATAGAAAATCAGTTGAGATGGTTTGAGCATGTACAAAGAAGACCAAAGGAGGCACCAGTGAGAAGAGTGGAACATATAACTTTGACTCCGATTAAGAGAGGTAGAGGAAGGCCTAAGAGAACACTCTTGGAAGTTGTTGAACGCGATCTCTTAATTAATAATATTCCTAAAAGCTTGATAAATGATAGAGCACAATGGCGTCTTGCAATCCATGTAGCCGACCCCACCTAGTGGGATAAAGGCTTGTTGTTGTTGTTGTTGTAATGAGTTTGAAAGCATGTTTTATGCACTTGGTGATAAGAATATATATATATATATATATATATTTTCAGTTTATCTTGTTAGTATTGTTTCAGTAAATATTTATCTATATCTATGTTTACATGTATTTGAAGTATTATCTTATGGTCTCGAGGAAATGACATGATTTGGAATATATGTGTGTGTGCATGTTGATTAATTATGTACTTATTGAATTATTTGTATTTCATATACTAGAAACCATCACCTCCTTCATCTGCATTATAAAGTGGATTTCCATGATGAATAATTGCAAAGTTGAATTTATGTTAAATCTAAATTATCGTCTTGTGGTATTTGATAGTTGTCCCAAACAAAAGGCAACGTATCCACATCTTTGTTTTTATTGTTTATTGATTAAGGAAAGAATTCTCATATTCTGTTTGAATTGATTGTTTAATTGTTTTGAATATTTTATTTTAAAGATTTATTGAAAATCTTAAAAAAAGGTCACAAGTATTATAATATTATTTGAATTTATACTGCTGAAGTGTATAATTTTTCCCAAAAATAATTAGGAATATGTGCTTTGATTAGGCTTGCGAAGCAAGGTTAACCTTGTATTTCGTACCAGTCACGTTTGATATTTTGGGGCGTGACAGTTGTGTTGCCATCCATTATGATTTTTCTTCTTAAAAAATGTTTCTTTCTACAAAGACCAGGTGCATCTTTTCTCTTTGACATTGATATTTAATTTACATCACTCTATTTTTGATATGGCAGAAGCATTCCAACGAAGTGTGGAATCTGATGAAAAAGATCGTTGTCTATTAAATGCTATCCAGAGTTAATGCCATGCAATGTTATGTTGGTTATTTAATGTTGCTAGAGTTCGTGGTTTCATCCATGGATATCAGCGAGGATTCATTTGTCAGCAAAAGTTTAGTCTGGTAAATATAAAGTTGAAATGGGTAAAGGACAGGGCATTGGATTCTGTTGTTACTAGTCATAGAGGTCTTAAGGCAGCAGAGACTCTTGTTTCGATTATTTTTTCTTTTGGATGTCTTCCCATTTACCATTTATCTCATTATTGTGGACAACTTGGTCTTCCCTATGACGTGAAGCTCTCCACATTTATCCGGAGTTATCCTAATATATTTATTGAATCCTACATTTTTGATAGTGGAGGTTCTCGTGTCCCATGTTTCAGCTTAAGTCCTGGAGTGTTGAAAGTCCATCAAGAGAAAGCTAACATCTGTCAGCAAAATCAGTTGGAATTTAGGGATAGGCTCTGCAAATTGCTTATGCTCACGAAAGATAGGGTCCTTCCACTGCAAACCATTGACCAATTACAATGGGATTTGGGGTTACCATATGATTACCAGCATTCTTTTGTTCCAAACCATCCTGAAAGGTTCTCCTTTGTTCGCCTCCCTGATGATCGCATTGGCTTAAAGTTGTTATATTGGGATGAATCGCTTGCTGTCTCTGAGTTACAAAAGAATGCTTCCATCCAACAAAAGGAAGATGACATAAGAAAAGGATCATTAGCATTTCCAATTAGTTTTACCAGGGGTTTTGGGTTGAGAAGGAAATGCATGGAATGGTTGAATGAGTGGCAGAAACTTCCCTATACTTCTCCTTACTTTGATGCCTCTCATTTGGATCCTCGTACAGATGTTTGTGAGAAGAGGATAGTTGGAGTTTTTCATGAGCTCCTTCACCTTACGGTTCATAAAAAAACTGAGCGTGAGAATTTTAGCAACCTCAGGAAATGCTTGGGATTACCTCAGAAGTTCACTAAAGTATTTGACCGTCATCCAGGAATTTTTTATATTTCTAAGAAAGGCAACACTCAAACAATTATTCTTAAGGAGGCCTACAATGGTCCAGAACTTGCGTGGAAACATCCCCTTGTAATGGTTAGAGAGGAACTTGCAATCATGTTAAAGAAAGGGTTGCTGGATAGGAGCAGGGGTTTTTATAAAAAAGATGTAATTGCTGGATAGGAGTAGGGGTTTATACAAAAAATTTAGTGGAATATGTAAGAAAGGATTTCCGGTGACAATGAATTTATTCAGCATAGTATTGAGGATGAGGCAGAGTTTGGTATGCTTTATGCTGTGATTCAGATATGCATTTTTGTTTACAGTGTCTGTATTTAGGATCAGCTGTGTCCAAATAATTTAGGAATGCTCCATCCTGCTTAGCACAATGTGACCTACTAGTTTAACATCACAGGTTACTGTTGTTGGGCATGCTGCCAGGCATTCAGAGATATGTGCCAGCTCTGGTAAGTACCATCCATTCACAATATTTAGTCCAAACCTCTCCATATGCTCTGGTGTGTTATATGCTTACCATTAATAACATCCATTTCTTCTTCCAAGTTTCTCATCGTAGTGTTTGTGATATGTTGCAAATTGCAAGTTCCCATTTTTCTCCTGTAAATTCTTCTCAGCTTTGGAACAATTTATTTGTTATTCTTTTAAATTGATTGATTGATTGATTGATTTTAATTTGTGGTGTGTTTTTGAGTTTTGGAACTTTAGGAAACTGCTTTTTTATGTTTTGCTATTTGTTGAATGTACTAGAGGAAAGCGAGATCCATTTTGCATATTTTTAATTATCAAATGGAGCTTTTCCAACAATTTTTGTTGTTGAGTCTGATTGCTGAAAGTTTTTTTGCTACGATTTGCCTCTTATTGTGTCTACAATATGTAATGGTTTTGATGAAATTTCTCTGTTGTAACAGGTAAGAGGTGAGTCTTTCAGCATAGACAATGGTTGTAGTTCTCCAATCCCCCTTCCAGCCCTTCCTTAGATGTTCACTAGAGGAGAATTATGCTACCAGTAATTGATCTTTCTCTTTGAGAATTACTCAAAACCCGCCTTTTGTGCTCAACCTTCTCTGTAATTTCCATCTCCTGATGCATTTTGGTATCATGAGTTATATTTGATTTCCATTATCTAGCAAAGAGTACATATTAAAAATTCGGATGTAATTTGTCAATTTATCCAGTGGCAGCATGTTTCCTCTTTGAAATCATGAGTTTCTAATGTTATTTTATTCCAAAGTATTATTAACTATACAGGCTTCTTAATATTCTTCTCAATTTTTTTATTTATTTCTAACTTTGTAGAGTTAAGAATTTTTAGTCTCATTGAGAAGCTTCTCCAATACATGAATAAAGTGGTTGAGAGGGGAGATTTCAGTTCAAGTAAAATTACCATTTTATTTATTTTAATTTTTGGCTAAAGTATTTAGTTCTTTAATTTTACAATAGGTTTCATTTTAGTCTTTTAACTTTATAAAGTATCTTTTTAATTCTATAACCTTAATGTCATTAGTTTCGTCCTAACAAATTTTTATATTGAACTTTTAAATGTTGATAAGATATTTTTAAATGTTGACATATTAAGTTTAATTTTTTTAAAATAAGAATGATTGATATAAAAAATAATTATTTAAAACTCGCAGTGTTAGAGTTAAAGCACTAAAAAAATATGTTATAAATTAAGGGATTTAATTGAAATCTAATATAAAATTAAAAGATTAAAAGTATATTTTAGTTTTAATTTTTTTAAAAAATAAAGACTATTGAATTATTGTAATCACTAATTTCTTTATAGTCATTGAAAATAAAAACTATCTACATTTTACCTATGTAATTGCTTTAATGTTAATTTTTAATACGTTATTTTCTCTTTTCAGAAAGAGTAATTATTTGGTCCATTAAGAGATTGTCGATGAAATCTTAGCATGCCTGTGAGGATTTAGCTAAAGGTCTTCTTATAGTATATGTTTTCTAAGTTTTAGAATGGTATATGTTGCATTTCAAGGAAAATGGTGGTAACAGAGGTTCAATGATTCTTCCATAAAGGAAGCACATCTCCCTTCCAATTCTAGACCCACATGCACTTACCTTGGACCATTAATTTCTGGTTTTGGCTTTATATTTTACATGTTTAGTGTTGTAGCATTTATTGTATAAAAATTTTCTATTTCAAGGTCCATTGTTCACTATAGCACAATTCCTCCTACTGTATATGAGAACAACTAAATTCCAATAGAGGGATCTAGGAATTTGAGGGCAACAATCAAATTCTAAAATCGGAGGGGTTCTTGACCTCCTCTAACAATGTCAACTTGTGTATAATGTCAACTTGTGTATAAATGATGATTAATTGTTGTTTATTGGTAAAGTTTGATTCCGTTGAATTGAAAAACTCTTCCTACTTGAAATATTCGTAATTGGTAGATGTTGAATGTAAATTGTTCCTTTCCTTACTTAAACACTTTGCTTATTTTTAAAACTTAAAAGTCTTTTGAATGGATATGATATGTATGTCAAGATGTATTATGCAATGATAAGGATAAAGAGGAGTTGTAGGTAGCATTTTTTTTGCTACTTTCTTGTGCTTTATTTACTTATTTTTGATAGAGTGGGAAAGCCAAAAAGAACAAACTACTACCCTACAAAACAAGAACCAAGGGAAAAGACTTCCTCCAAAAGTAGAAAATGAAGACCAGTGGGCAACACTAGCGTGTTTTGTGATGTGATCAGCTTTAATACTTTCTTCCCTCTTGATGTATTTGATGTCAACGTCTAATCTTGATGAAGCAAAATTTTGACACTCGCAAATCAAATTCCAATGAGTATAAAAATCATTATGTGCATCCTTAATCAGGTTCAAAGCCTCCAGTAGCTCATTTCTCAAACTTACTTTCCATTGTTTGCCATCCCAAGATCTTCAAAGACCAATAAGACATGTGCTTAAAGCTCAACCATAAGAGAATCTTCCTGAAGTAATTTAAGTATAAAAGCTTTTGAAAGAGAATGATGGTTGTCCTTAATGATACCCTCGCAGCTCGAACTATAATTGAAATAAGAGTGAGCTCCATCAACATAAACATTAATCTAACCTTGTGACAAGAGGGGCTCCTGCATTCTTCACGGTACCTTGAATATTAATTCTCTTTAGATTTAGTCGTACCTCGTTAAAACTAGAAACAATAGCCTTGGCCTTGGAGACTAACTGTTGGGTACTTGTGATGTTATTTTCAAAAATTTTCATTTCTTCCCTTCTAAATGAGCCAACAGACCATAGCAAACAACTGCTTCCAATTACCTTCATCTTGCCCTATAGTAATAGTAACATTCAAGTAGCATCACTCCCATAGATATTTGGTGCTATATTCAGGTAGGATCTTATCAATTGCATGTAACTCAAATAGCTATTTTTATTGTGCTTAATTCTTGATTTTCCAATCATGAGGGGTTACTCAACTAAAAGCTCCAACTTTCATTTGCTGACCATAGGTTTCCTTTTCTTGAATTTTGGGGTGTCATGGTTTGCTTGACCCACATTGTTCCTTGTAAGAATTGATGATATTGATCATTGTACTCGACCTATGCCATACCCATAGGTTAGTGATAATATTAAGCACATGTAATTAATAATAATGTCAACCATTATGCATTAACTCAAAGAAGATTACACCACGTGAATTTTCATTAACACCCTATTACTATTTCTTGGGTGAACTCTCATCCATCCATGATTATTCAAGTCCATACATATGCAGTTGTCTAATGATGATCATATCCTATTAAACTCAATAGTATCAAGGACTTGTATCATTTATTTCATCACATATTCAAACTCATGCTCAGTAATTCAAAATCAAACCATCACATAACTCAATATCATACCAATCCTAACTTTATTTAACATGCTCAAGATTTGCCCCTCATAACAATAACCCATCTATATAATTGATTGTGCTCATTTCATTGTCACATTACATGCCATAGCATACCATAAATAATTTAGAAACACAAATTTATACTTAAATTAAATTCTCAGTTACCTCCATTCTTGAACTACCAACCGAAAAGTAAAATTTAAATTTCCTAAGGGAGCTTCCAACCAACATAAGCTCTAAAAAGAATTACTCTAAAATCAATGATGATAATCAGCCTTAACGACTAATGGCTATAAATGACTATATTGTATCTCCTACGGCTAGTTCACTCAATGGATTATAAACATAATACTCCTAACTTATTTTAATAAGAAGTTAAACTTAGAAATCATGAAGTTATGGCATTCATGTTTATATTGCTCTTACTTTATCAAAGTATTGTTTTTCAGCCAATATTTTTTATATCTTTATCGTTTGAGTATAAATATTTAATTATACTTATTCTACTCTTAAAGAGAGTTCTTATTAAATGATTCACTTATTTGAAATCAGTGTAAAAGTGAGAGAGAAATTTTTCTTAGTTTTTTTTAGGAGAAAAGCTCACTAGTGTAATGAGTAGTTGTAACTACTCAAAAGTGCCCGAATCAAATTTGTGAATTGTAATGATTTACTAGTGTTCGATTCAAACTTGTAGAAGAAAATGGATAAATTTCAAGTGGTTACTTGAGAATTGGACGTAGATTCAAGTCGTAGAGCTGAACAAGATAAATCATAGTTTGTATTATATTTTCCCTATCTCTTTATATTTCCAACAACTATCATTTATGCTTTATTTTCTGTTAAACAATGAATTTAAAATATTTACATGCTTTTATTCAAATTTTTACTTAAAAATTTATTTTAATCATTCTTATATATATTAAGCTTGTGAAAATTGTAATAGTGTTCTTGCAAATAGATTTTAGAACTTGAATTTGTTCAAACTTACTCTTATAGGGCCCGTTTGGATTGCAATTGGGTATAGTTGATTGTGAAAATAATTGATTAATATGATTGATTTTAGTTATAATTGATTATATTATAATACAATATGTTTGGATAGTGAAATTGATTTTAGCTGTACAAATTATTATAAAGGATATTTCTTTTCAAAATGAAATTATTGACAAAGTTGTATTTAATATTATTAAATTTGTTAAACTTTATTTAAGAAGTAAAATATATTATTTAACAGTAAAATTGAATCTATAAGCAACTTTTTAGAGTTTATTTCAAAATTCAATTCTGACTCAATAATCAATTATTAACTTTGCTGGCTATTTGGATAAATTTTGCAAAAATTGATTATTTTAGCTCAATAATCGATTCGGCCAAATAGGCTAATACTCTATTTTACAATGAAAAATTTTCAAAGTAATGAAAATTTGATTAACACCTAATTCACCCCTCTTTAGGGTGTGCTATCATATCTAACATTGTGAATCTGCTCAATCTTGAGGTAATCAATACATTTACTTGCACTTGTAATTTTTCTAGATTAATGGATTCACAAATGTGCTCACTAAAGTTTACTTTGATCCCACATGTTAAAAGTATCTCAAGGAACTGAATAAAATGATCAAAGTAAAATTTAGTGAGCATATTTGTGAATCCTTTAATCTAAAGAAATACGAGTGCAAGTAAATATCTTGATTACCTTGAGATTGAGTAGATTCACAACCTACTAACCCCCTCTTTAGCCTTCAAAGGAAAAAAAATAAAAGAGAGCATGGCGACAATGAGATGTTGAATTTATGTGAAACTAGAGTTATATTTAATGTATGATTAATTAATCACTTTGACTCCTTCTTTATTCAATTAATTAAAAGATAGAAAAAATAATAGATGATTGAAAGGTTGTAGGTTGGGCCTTTGCTAAATTATGTGGTTAATTTATTATGGTGTATACAAGATCATAAAAGGCCAATTTATTTTGGGTTGAATAACTAATTAATGCAAATTCATAATATATTTTAATATTCTAACATAATATGTAAGTAATGTTATGCATTTAACAAGTTACACAAGGGAATTAACATGTAATATTAGAGATTTTACAAGTTAATAATTGCTTTGAATCATTATAGAAAGACATTTTGTTCATTTTGATTTAGTATTTTATTTTACTTCAGTTCTAAAATCTTGCAGTGTAATTTTAGAGATTTGTAAATAAATAACTACTATGATACTTAGATGAAATTCTTTCTTTTTCTTTTTTAAAAATTAGACTTGAACTTTTTTCCAACAAACTATGGCCTGGTTTATCTTATTTATAATAGACAAACTTATTTGTTCAA